ATGAAGTTCAAAGGTTTTGCTTTTGCAACCTCACCTATGTGTTTTGTGTCATTGATGATAAATAAATGTTCATTCACATATTCAACTAGTATTCACTATGTGCCTACTGTATACCAGAAAGGCGTTTTCCAACCTTTGGGGATATGTACTAGTGAAGATGACCATCAAATTCTTGTCATTAAGTTAGGATGCTTGGAAGAGGACGCTAATATAACTACATCCATATCTACCTGATCAGACACCATAGAGTTACTGAGAGGGTTTCAAATGACAATAAAAATGTCATTTTACCAGAATGCTTTGCAAAGTTCATCAAAACTAGCTGGTTAATTTTACAAAAATAAAAGTCACCTCTGCCTTGCAAGCACAAGGTCCTGAGTTCGATCCCCGATACCAAAAAAATAAAATAAAATAAAATAAAATAAAAGCCGCCTTAAAATATATAACACTCAACAATATATTTCAATGGCTTTTTGTACTGACTTTACAAGAAATACATATATACAAAAATATGAAGTTTTAAAAATGGAAACAAGAGTTTCTTTTTTATAATGGTAGTTTTTAACCAAATACAATTTCTTTTTAGTTTCAAAAATCTTTGTAATTCAAAACACCAATTTTTGCAACAAAGAGCAATGCTTTAAACAGTGTATACCAATGAATTTGCTTATTGAAAATAAGCTAATATTTTCAATGTTAAATAATTGACTTCTTAATATATAATTTGCCCAACAGGAATTGTAAAAGAAAGAATCCCTTATGAAGCGATACTCTGTTAGAATATATTCAAACAACATTAGCCTTTTCTGACATAAGAGAGAAAATTCAGCTCCAGTGTTTCCTTACCCCTTTCAAAGCTGAGTGTCATAATAAACTATCACTAAGAAGTCACTGTTTATTTAATACACATCTAGATTTCCACATTTTCTACCACTGGCTTCACAGGTGAAACCTCCAGTCTTAGTGAATTCAGAAGGCGATGTTTACACCTGCCATATTAAACCAGCCAATTATATTAAACGTGGTGCTTTTGGGGAGGGACACTGGGGATTGAACACAGGACCTTGTGCTTGTGAGGCAGGTGGCAGAACCACTGCGCTAAATCCCCCGCTCGGGTACATTTTTTTAATAATCATACATCCAGAGAGAATTTGAGCATTTTCAGTGTTTCTTGAGGGCTTTCACTATCTAATGAATTTTGGTGCATCCAGTGCTTTATGTAAAACTTACATTTGCTGTGAACATTTGCCAGTCTAGCATCTGCCTCCACCTGAGACCTCGAATTCTGGTAGGACTGAATGTGGCTTTGTGAACAGCACAACAGCCCCGCTTCTCTTCTAAAATGAACCCACAGAGCATAAAGGCGATGAAAAAGCAACCCGAGAAGGTGAGCATTTGGAATCTCCAAAAGACACTTTTTAATGCACTCAGTAACTAAAGATGTTGACTGCACAATATATATAGGATTTAATTTCCCCTTATACCTTTTTGTGTCTATAATTGATCGCAAGAGGCTTGCTGGAGGCAGCTTGCTAAATTCATGGAAGATTTGAGATTAAAGATCCATATATTTCCTCAGGATGTATTTGTTCGATAAGAAAACTCTAAAATGAAGAAAATGCCTTTTTGTGGAATTCCGAAATTTGCTAAGATAGTCATGGGAGGTTTACAAATTCAACAGTGACCGAGGCAAGGCTGCCATCATCACACACTTGGGGACCTCTCCCCGGGGACTTTTTCCAGGCCTCTTCCCCCGGGTCCTCTAGTCCACTTCCCACACTGCAGCCTCGTGGAGCTTTGAAAAGTAAAATCTGATTGTCCCAAACCTTGACTCAGATCATGCCCTAGTTTGCCGTTGCCTTCAGTATTAGGGCCACAATGCTAGGGGCATCTCAGGGCCCTGAATATGCTTGCCCTATCCATAAGAAGAACGAGTCCTAACCCTAAGGTAGCATCTGTGAAGGGCTTGCTATGAGCCAGCCATGCTATCAAGACCATTTTGTTTACTACTTCACTTAATCCTCATAAGAACTCTGTGTTGTCCACACTGTTCCTATACTCAGAGAAGTTAAGCCATGTGCCCCAATCACACAGCTGAGTGAGCCAATACATCCTGCTCTGCAGGACCCCCTCACCAGGCTCCTCAATTTTTAGCCACCCGCTGAGCTCCAGGTTCCTGAATATGCCTCACTCTTCCTCCTCCCTGGAGCTGCACTATACTGGTCCTGCTATGCGGGACAACGCCTGTTTCCTTCATCACTGGAATACAGCTTCTGCTCACACCTTCAGAACTCAGCTAAACACACCTCTCCCTGCACTTCCAGCACTCTCTGTCCTTTCATGAGCCTGTCATCATCCCTGGGAAGTACTTATTCCAGTTGCTGTTTAGTGTGTTCCTTCCCCTCGGCTGCTGTAACAGTGCAACAAAAACGTGGGTGACCAAAGACAACAGAAATCCACTTTCTGGGTCCTGGAGAACAGAGGTGGGAATCAAGAGAATTCTTGGGGGCAAATCCTTTCTTGCTTCTTCTGGCTCCTGGTTGCTGGCAACCCTGCTGTTCTTGGCTTGTAGATTGCTCGCTCCAGTGCCATGCCTGTCTCCCCTGGTTGTAGCTTCACATTATTTTCTTCCTGGATGATCTGGCTCTATTTCTAAACCACCTCTTTTTCATACGTGCCAGTCGTATTGGATTAGGGTCCACATTAATGACCTCATTGTGCCTTCATTACCTTTGTAAAGACTCTGTTTCCCAACATGGTCACATTCTGAGATATCAGGGTTAAGATTTCAGTTTATCAAAACTTGATTGTGGGGGAGATACACTTCAACTCATAACATTGCCTATAAGACTAAGACGAATTCCTGGAAAAGTGGGGGCTTGTCATCTTATACCTCAGCATAATGCCCTGCACAGAGCAGGTACAGGTCGCTATTTATCAAATGAGTAAAAGCCCATACTTAAGAGTTGTTGCTGCCACGAACCTTGCCATTAATCAGGGCTCAGAATGTGGATGCCTAAGGCTCCAAGCAAGTAAGATACATTGACAATGTGGGTGCCGGGAACTGGAAACAGTCCATTCAGCTTCAGTTGCTCCCCATTATGAGGGTAGTGTTAAAACTTTCAATTTTCAAGGGAAGCCACATAACTACATTGTTTTAGAAGAAATGTCTAATGTTCAAATGGGAGCAACTAGATCAATTTTCAAAATTGAACGATGTTCATGGCAAAAATAATGTGACTGAACATAGTCCTGAAGTCACATGATAGCAGCCTCTGTATCAAAATAATATCAGATGCCATGTGAGGTCACATCCACAGTAAAATGCACTGATTCTATTCCCTGGGCTGTAGTAGGATGGGTCAAAACAGCTTATTTTGATTGCAGTTATGCAGCGTCAGGGCTAAGGAGGTTCTCCCCTCTGGCACAAAATTTAAGAAGGGTAAAAAAACCAGAATAATCAAAATAAATAATATTTTAATATAATACTTTGAAAAACTAACATTAATGCCAAAAAGTCCATGGCAGAGACAAGACCCTATCCTGCCCTTTCACTGATCTCCCTCCCGCACTTGGCCTTAGACCTGACCCTGGAGTCAACCTATAAAGACAACAGGTTTATTTTGGCTCACAGTTTTGGAAGTTTTAGTCCATGACCTGTTAGCCCTGTTGCTTTGGGTATAGCATATTTTGGCAGGGAGGATGTAGCAGGACAGAGCCATTCACCTCTCAGCTGGGATCCAAAAGAGAAACAGGAGAGGGCTGGAGCCTCACCATCCCTTCTGGAGCACACTGCCTACACCCAAAGCCTCCCATGAGGCCTCCTTTCAGTGGTACCAAGCTGGCAACCGGACTTAACACATGGCCTTTGGAGGAGATTTTTCAGACCCAAACTATACCTTCACCACCGGTGAGATCAACCTTCTGTTGCATCAGTTTCCCCTCTCTGGAGCTCCAGCTACTGTGTACTGCATATGGAAGAAGAAATCCACTCCCACCCCAACCCTGCCAACTTCTGTGCCCATAAGACAACAAGTGACTTCCACTTCCGGCAGATTCTCCCGCTCATCTCCCTTCTCAGAGGAGCAAATCATGGCTTCTCCTAGGACAGTGCTACTTACCCACTTCTGATGGAATTGCCTTAATCATACTTTGTCCCAAGCTTTCCTCAATGCCTGCTCACTTCTACCACACTGCCAGAGGCTGCAGATGGGGCTCTGTCACTAGCCCAGCAATAGCCTCTCTCTGCAGCCGACAGATGTAGGTTAGTTACCACGGAAGGCTCTTCCGTTGATTCAGCTCTCAGCTTGGAAATCACATCTGAAGTGTTTTACAGCTTGATAATACAGAGGGTACTTCTGACCTTTCCTAAGCAGCCACTCAAGATTCAAACATTCTCATCCATCATTACTACAGCCTGCCTTCGTGCACGAGGTAATGTACATGATTTGGTAATAACTGAGGGTACAATGTTGATTCAGCATCGTGACAAGCTTTCCTCAGACCCTGGGAATCACAAGACATGTCAACATCACAGCAAAACCAATACAGCCCATTATGCAAATGCATATGTGTGCCAAAATCCCCATCAGCAAAATAATTAGACCCAGCACAAAATCCTGGTGACTTGTTTTTAAATAAGAACAAGATATGATGAGGAACATTTGGCCTGACCCATGTTCCTATGAAATCTGCTTCTCCATACTTAAGAAAAAGAAAAATATAATTTAAAAATTTAATTAGATTCCTAATTAGATTAGTTTCCTCGAGACAGGTGCCTGGTCACATATTCTGAGTGTACTCCTCTGTGAGCTCCTCCCTGTCCTTTGCCTCTGGAAGTGTGATCACAAGACCCTGTGTGCTGATGTACACTCATAGCACCTTGTACACTCGTGTGTACTTTGTACATCTGGCTTCCTCCATTGGACTAAAAGTTTAGTGGGACAGCTGAGGGAAGGCATCTTTTCTGAGTTCTTTTTTATTTCTCTCCCATTTGGTAGGTATTCAAATATTTGTTGAATGGATGAGGAAAATCCCACCCCTTCCCCAACACACGCAGAGAATCAGCTGTTGGAGAGCTCCAAAGGATTTCATCACAACCATGCTATTAACCATGAAAATCCATTTACTTCCCGTCAAGGTACTTGTGGTGCATCAGAAATCGTGGTATGTCTTCCATGCTCTTCATTATCCCAAGCAGTTCTATTAACACAGATTCACTCCAAAGTCAGCACAATTTGCTCATGAAGATTAGGAGCTGTCTAGATTTGAATCTGGCCAGAGAGTATTGTTAGTTGTGTGTCTTAGTTTCCTCACCTGTGAAATAGGGGTGAAATTTATATCAACCTCACCTCGTTAATGAGACTAAAAAATGATTAGAATACTGCTTGAAATTCGTCAGAACTCAGTAAGCCTTAGTCACTGTTCATACTGCTATTGCCCCTGACAGTGCTGAACGGTGGAAACAGGGAAGGAAAATGGGTCCCAGATGAGAAAGGGCCTGGAGAAGAGAACTGTGTCCCACAGCTTGGTCCAGCAACCACGTGGAAGCTGGCTCTGCTCTGATCCCACCTTCTTCACCGTGTTCTTCCTCAGATTTCTTTAGGCTGTGGTCCGACATCTTGGACTTTTGCCCTTTGGAAACGTGCTTTAAATTGTCTTGATCTTATTTTCTAGCTTCTTAGCAATCAAGCTTACTGTCCATGCTTCTGGATTTGCTTGGCTTTCTTTTCCTTTCATTGTTATCAGTGTTGTTTCCCGGACATGTATAAAACTCTTGTTTCCTACAAACAGATTTTTGGTTAAAGTAAAACTTATAACCCCACATTGCTGGTTGCTAAGAGGACCAATGTATGCAAATACAGCAGAAACACAATAAGGGGCCTAGATAAGGTTGTGTTCCTAAGCCAACAGGTGTAAGTAATATGTGCTTACTGCAGTGACTCGTGTATTTTACCTGCTCTTTCCTTGCAGGTTTATCAGGAATCTCTTTTCTATCACCCCAGTATCGCATTATACTCATTTTAATTAAAACTGAGTTGTCAAATATTTGCGATTCTATTTTTAACAATTGTTAGTGACAATCTATCGGCCACCAAGCATAGTTATTAATAGACTAGACAATCTTTTCTTCCTGTTTTTGTATCTACCCCAACTGTGGAATGCTAAATTTTATGGTGGTCTTTCTCTGGATGAAAGTTGGATGGAAAGAACAGATCTTGTTTCGTGTTTCCATTGATATTTTCTCAGGAAGGAGAGCCAGTAGTGCCTTGTTCAGATTCCAAATGCTGTGCCAATCTCCCTGGAAGCTAACTGTAGTTTTTCTTTCCCTCGAAGTGACAGATGTCACCTGCAATTTCATTTGTGGCATTATCATCTTTGTAGGTTGCATCTGCAAATTTCCGCAAGTAGATTGAACTCCAAGCATCTTGAATATTGAGTTTGGGATTAAGAAGCCCATAACATACAGTAGGCATTCAAAAAAGAATTGAAACATATTTATTGCTTATATAGAACTATACTAAAATCTCCAAAAAGTAAATGACAAATATATGGAAACCAGGCAGGCTTCTCCACAAACAGGTGATTATATAGCTGGAAAGACAGCATTTCCATGAACAGAAACCAAAAGGAAACATAGAGGCAGACTTGAAGGGACTACATAAGAAACATCTTCCAAAGTACATAATAGATATTTATCCAAATAAATTGCAAGGGAGCATTTATGTCTCTGTGAGAATGCCTTGTTTGCAATTAGTTGAAATATTAACTGCAAAATTAAGTTATTTTTAATTCAGCAAGGGTGAATGTTTTTATCATTAATCTATCCTGTATTTCCCTAAAGTTTTCTAGGAAGGAATCATTACGTTATGATGTCATGTAACCTGATTGTGATAATATATTGAGGGCATCTATTATTTATATCCCTCTTTCGTTCTGGACAGTGAGTGGCTTTGGGCAAATTCCCCATCAGTCACACTTGTGTTTGTGTCCAAAATGTCTAACACACAGTCCATCCTCAATAAGGGTTTGTTGAAATAAACAACTATTTCAATAGGCCCAGAGGTTTGATGAATGGAGGAAGACAATATAGTCTACAGACACAATGGAATATTATTCAGCCATAAAAAATAACAAAAATTTGTCATTTGCAGAAATATGGATGGAACTGTAGAACACTATGTTAATTTTGCAAATACTACATTATTAACTATTTCAAAAATATATAAAAGATCTGGAACGAGCACAAACCTGGATTTTAAAAGTACTAACTTTGGCCAGATTTGCTTCAGATGTATTTTCTTTTCTTTTGAGGAAAAAGAGACAACACACAGTCCCAATGCAGCCCAATGCCCACCTGCTCCTTTCTTTCTTCCCACAACTCAGTCGGAGGTGGTGTTTGTCCCTCGTACAGATCTAAATGTATTTTTCTGGTGTATGTATGTAGGTATAAGATACAAAGACTTTTAAAATTTACATCAATTGTATCACAAGAATTATTTTCAGCTTGCTGTTTTCCTTCAGCGTTTATGTTGTCAAGATTTATCCACATTGAGACACGCAGACCTCTTGGAACGGTCCATTTTCCCTGATCAGATCTGGAGTAAAGCTCCAGATTACCCTCTACAGTTTATTTGCCCTTAAATTATAAAACTAAGCATAGATTCTGCCAATATAAGGCTAAGAGAGGGACAGAGTCTCTTTCGTGCTTTTCGACACTCAGACCGCCTGTGTCAGGTCTCTCCACTGACCAATGTCAAAGCATAAAAGCAGAGTTCAGGCCCAGGGCTCAGGAAGGACAGGTGGGGGCTGAACTGGGAGCCCCCGAGAGTCACAGCAAGACCTGCCCAGCACTCAACAGATCCATGTTCAGTTTTTTAAATTAATTTTATCCGTACATTTTAGGTATGCAATATGATGACATTCGTCATTGGACATTTGCACCTTTACATACATAATCTCTCCTGGTTCTTATTTTTCCCCCTTCCCCTGCCCTCCCTTCAACCCCTCCATCCCTCCCTATTTACAAAGACTTTGTTTCCAATTTTTCATTTTCTAGTATTAATTTTATTCCCTTCTTTCCTTTCCCCTACCCTTCTACTTCCCCTTCCATGTTCAGTTTTGAGCACCGGCGAGGAAAGGAGATGGGAATTTCACTTTTGAAAATTCAAAAGTGCTATCTTTCTTTTCTTTCCTCCTTATTTTTTTTCCACAGATATGGAACCTGTTAATACTCAGACCAGAGCAGGGCAGAGCATGTATCCAAGAGGTCCTCATGCCGGCATCAAATAAAGATATACAGCATTAGCAAAAAACAAAACAAAACAAAACAAAACAAAAAAACAGTGACTTAAAAAGAGACACTTGCTAGCTAATTATCTTAGTTCCTATTACCTTTTGCCTACACAGCTTCCCTGATACCATTTGGCTCCAGGGAAGCTAATTCCCCTTTATGTGAGACAGAAACATAAAGAAGGAATCATTTACCTCTAGTCAGTAACCAGCTGATCACTATTAGGGAAAGAACTTTCTTTATTTGTACAGGTTTGCAGTACACAATGCTTCCGTTCCCTGGGTGGAGTTGGAGCCTGTAAGTAACACATCTTAATTTATTTTTTCATCCCCTTCCTCCACCTCCTGATCCCCTTCCCACGTGAGAAAGATCTGTCTCCCTACTTCCTATTATCTGTTTTTTTATTTTCTTCTTCATTTATAATTTGGGTTTCTCATACTGGAGAAACCATATGATATTTAAGCTCGTGTGACTGATTTATTTCACTTAACATTGTGGTTGCAAGGTGCATCCATTTCCTACAAATGACTCAAGTTTATTTTTCTTTATTGCAGAGTTGTACTCCATGCTTCATCACAGCTAAATCTTGGAAGCAGCCAATACATCCATCAGTGGAACTTTGGTCTTGAGGCCCCTAATGCTGAGGTAAATGTATTTCATGTTTCTGAACTCAGGAATTTGATGCTTCTATCCATTTCTTGTTTTTCATGTTTTTCCACTGAAAATTTGGCTAATACTAAAGACCAATAATGAGCTCTTTGGAGAAATTTAAAGAGCATGTAGGCTTTCTGCAACTTCTGACTCACGGGCCTATGTACTCGAAGGTAACCATGTACAAAATGTAGATAAAATAGACCAGATGGCAGTTTTTGGCTTTGAAAGCAGATTCACCTCAGGGCTTCTACAAGTTACAATAGCCTCCAAAAGCCTTGTTATAGTCTCAAAATTGTCTTTAGGTAAACCAGGTGTGGTGGCACATGTGTGTAACCCAGCACCCTGGAAGGCTGAGGCAGGAGGGTCGAAAGTTGAACCACAGCCTGGGCAACTAAGTAATTTAGAGAGACCCTGTCTCAAAATAAAAAAGGGATGAGAATATAGCCCAGTGTGAAGGTCCTAGGTTTAATCCCAAGCACCACACTCACAAAAAAATTGTGTAAGTATTTATATAAATCTGTGTGGGTAAGAAAGAAAAGCATTGATTTTATAATGTCTAATTTCCCAATTTGAAACTACTTTAAATAAGTAGGACATTGGAATCTGTAAAAATTAATTTTATGCCATCTTTCCTTTCCAAGAATTCCTCAAATCAAATAATCTAATCTATTTGACAAAAGACAGCTAACTTATAAAAGCTTCGCCCTAATGCTGCAATATCCTACAGAAACAAGACATACAGAGGGTGTAATGGGGGGAAGGAATTGGCAAGAAGTGGAAATTAGATTCTGCTTAAAACTGGAAAGGAATTTAAGTACATATAATAGCATTACCAGAGCTAGGCTTCAGCCCGGACGCGTGAATATTGAACAACCCTGTCCACGGTGGCGTGTGGTCTTGGTGTGGAAGGAAACAGAGTGGCCCTGTCCCACCCCGCAAGGACGATGCTCTCAGGTAGCACTGTCTTCTCCTTCCTAACCCAGGTCCTAGCTCTACGTAAAGGAAGCCACAGATTTCCGCATTACCTGCCTCCCTGGTGGGCAGCTCTGTGCGTGGGCGGTGAGCTCCCTGGGAAACACTGAGCAAGCGCAGGTCTGCTGGGATCACCCGGGGAAGCTAACAGCATTGCCGACCCTGGATTCTGCAGCCTCATAGCTACAGCGATCCATCCAAGCACCCTGTGTGCAGAACCTGGGCGGTTTGTGCATTTTCTGACCTGTGTGAGATCCAGTTGCTTATTTCCTTTGGTGCGATCCACATTAAACACACACCACACACACACACACACGAACACAGACACACACAAAAGAGAGACAGTTATCCAGAGCAGAAAGATCTTAAAAATGCAAAATGGGACAGTCTTATCCCCCCTATCAAGTTAATTGTCAGTTGTGTTAGGTAAATGTGGTAATTTAGCTTGATTCACTCAGAATCCCATCTCTCTAAGTCTCTCTGCATGACCACATGCAAATCTACACAGCTACACACCTTTTGGCCAGGCAGGGTGGTGCACACCTGTCATCCCAGCACTTCAGAGGCAAGAGGATCACCTTGAGTTTGAGACCAGCCTGGGCTCCATAGTGAGTTCAAGGCCAGCCTGAACAACATTGCAAGGCCCTGTGTCAAACAGGTAAATAAATATGTAGATACCAGACAGACAAATAGCAATGACTCCAGCTGCTCAGCGTTGTCACACACCCCACATACACAGATAATACTTTTCACTCTTTAGAATTCTACTCCTGCAAATTCGTCTGTAAAATTTCACACTCTCCATCCTTCCTGCCCATGACCACCCTTCCACTCTGACTCTTACACATCTAATCAGCTGTTAATTTGGGTTTTCTTTGAAATTAGTATGAAAGGAGACTTTTCTTCTAGTGGCTCTATTTCTTCTCATTCTTTCTCCATGCCCACTCAGCCTCCCATCCCTCAGGTCTAAGGCAGCCCAGGTCCCTGTTAGGATGCTCCACTAAGGACACGAGGGTGAGCGACTGCAGCATAGAACTCCTCTCTTCTCCCACCCAGAGTGGCCTGGTATGCACACCAGTCCTGCAGAGAATCAGGCCGAGAGACGACTGGCCAAACCTTATGTTACTGGCGAAGGGTTCTTCTTTCAGACAACAAGGTGCACTTACAGCAGCCTCCTTCACCAAATTTGGTGGTATTAGCATTAATTAACACAATCCCTCTCTGGAGAGGCAGGGGAAAGTAGCTCTCATGTTCTTGTGGCATGGCAAGTAGCAAATCAAAACTCCAGGTGAGCATGGGGACTGGTCAAGCAAGATGACCTGCGTCGATTACTGATGCAGTGCAGGAGCTGGCAGCCCTGCCTCTGCCATATCTATTTCTAACCATTTCTCCCTGCTACAGGCCTGACGACAGCACAACTTGCCAACCAGCCAGTGGCTCCTCACAACCTTCAGGGTGGGGTTCAAGCTTCTGGTGAGAAATTGAAGCCTCCTTGATTGCATCTGCTTCAGCCTCATATTCTGCCTTGCTACTCCAAGACTCTTGTCCCAAGCCTCATTATTACTATTCCCTCAGACAGGACAAGCTCTCCCATACTTCCATTCCTTGCCTAAATTCCTCTTGCTTCTTGATCCAAATCGATCTGGCTAACTTCCATGTAGCCTTCAGAATTCCTTCCAAGACTGAGCATTCATTGCCTTCCCTCCTTCTTCTCTCACAGGAGCTAGAAGGGCTCCTTCTACCCCAAATGCATCTTCTTTGCAGTCTTATCTCTCTGTATTACATACATGCATTGGTTTTCTGGGATATTCATTCTTCTCTACAATCAGGGTCTGTATGTTTCACTTCTTGCATCTCCAAATTTCTGACGAGCACGTAGCCCATTATGGGTGTTGTAAATATTTGGAAAGGGAATAAATGAATTAAGGATCAAATATTGCTTTAAAAAAACAAAAGATTTTAAAAGCAGGCTTTGATCTATGATTATACTTGTACCATGGCCTATGTTTCTCTTAATACTGATTAAATAATTAGTCCCTCATGATCAAATTATCATGAATATTGGTCTAATGATTTCATTTATATTTCAAGGTTAGAGTTCTTAGTGTCTTTCTCCCCTCGAGGTAGGCTTTTGGAAGGCTGACGCCATGTTTATTTTCCCAGCATGCTCCACCCGCCTGTCAGTATCCAGTGTTGCTCAAGGTATGGCCCAAGGCAGGAGCCACGTGATTGGCGGGTTTGGCCAGGAGCTGACCACGTGCCTCGCTCCTATCATAGGGCGGTTAAATTGATCCAAAACTGTACCCTTTAAAGAAAATGTTGTAGCTATTCAAAGCAACACCGACTGTCTTTGTTTCCTGCCGACACTCATCTTTTCTCTCTAAATTAAAGCCCAGACTCTTATCTGTGTCTTTGGTTTCCAGCATAATGTTTTTATTCCCTGAGAGTAATTTCTGGCCTTTCGAACAGTCTTAGACAATTACCTCTGTCAGAGAACTGTGTACATTTAATGAAAGCCATGTACCGGCTAGAGCAGAAAGGGAGAGTGTTACCATGATAATCATAATATTGTGTTGAAGATTGTTAGCATCTATTATTATATTGTAAAATTACTTCAAACTGTGTTATATAATTTATTAATAATTTTTGGAGTGTAAAGTCATTGTTTAATTAAAGCGTCTATAACTCCACTTCTAAAAGTGAAACAAATGGTATCCACTAATAATTCCTTCTTTATCCCACTTTCGCTTTGACTGTTTCCTCAATAACTTGCTTCTGAGGAAACGGCCCAAGCCACAGTATTCCAACTCCCATTTGGCAGTTAAAACCAGTTTCAAGAGCAGCTACTTTTTATTAGAGAAAACGAATACCTCTGGAATATTTTTAAAGGAATTCACTTCTTTTTTAAATCCACTCAACTATTCACACTAACTCTTAAAATATTTTTACATGAAGGCTTCAAGTGTTAGTGCTAGTGAATTGGCTTTTAATCCAGAAGACTATTTGGATGCAGTATAGACTATCATAAGCTTTCTTCTTAAAATTGCATGAACGTTTTTTGAGCCACAAAAATCCCACACCAATAAAGCAGTTAAAATACTTGTTCTTTCTTTGAAGAGCTTTTTGTTTTATTTCCAAAATAGAGAAACATATGATGGTCTTATTTTTGAACAACAACAACAACAGTTTAAAAAATTAAAACTTTTTAACAGGTACACTTAAACTCAGTTTGGAAAAATGAGCTATATAAATAACGGAAAGACTTATGCTTCTAGCAAAATTTAAATTATGCCAAATCTCATTATTTTGACATAGAAGCTGAAAGCAAATGCTTCAAAACATTGGGGAAATTAGCAAAGGCCATATTATTTGAAGGTGATAATGGGTGATAATGATGAATCTACTAAACTTTCATTCTGTTCTAAGCTAGTTCACACCTTACCACTTCTTGACTTACTGGGCAATATACACAAAATTTTGTGTATTAGGAATCTTTCTAACTGAAAAAAGTGTTCATTAAGTTTATGCCCATCCTTAGAACAACTGTTAAAAAATCATAATGCATATGTATGATTTTATATTGTACATACGTGGAAGCTATTTTGAAAAGTATCTATTTTCATTAACATATAGTGGATGACTCTAATATTAACATCCCCTATAATGAGAAATTTAAGATATATATGTTTAGTCTTTCTGGTGTAAAATCAAATATTCTTAAACCTAATAGCTTAAGTAGCTAAGTGTGTTCCTACATTTAGTCTTTAGTATTTTTATATCCACACAAATAGTTCTAAACTTAAGAAATCACATGTTGTACTAGTATTATTTTTTATTTTTATTATTTTTAAATTATATTTTCTAGAGAAGATAATTTGTATTCAATGAACATTCAAGGCATAGGAATAAAGAATGTGTTTCAGCACAACATGTAGACTAGGTCACAAAAGTAATTCACACCACACCTAGGTATGTGATTGAATACAGTTTGATACTTTACAACTACTCTGATCTTCAGA